CCAAACAGCTGTTTGGTGGCGGGAAAGCGCTGGGAGGTAGGCGGAGTAGTGGGGATGTGGCGTGCTGGGGGGTGGGGTGGGGTAGGGTAGGGAGCTTGGTGGGCTGCAGGAAATAACCGCATGGGCCACGTGTTTGAGACCCCTGCTCTAAAAGACCATGGATTTATTGGTTAAGTTACAAGGCCCATATATTTTGCCAGGCCTTCCATGGAAGGAGAGATGTGGGTTGAAAGGGGAGACATTTATTTTGAGAGGATCTTCTGTGTGTTTATTGATCCAAATGAACCTTTAATTAACCAAAATAAATAATTCAGTAATTACATTTTTAAAAACTGATAAAAGAAAATGGAATTTTCCCCCCTCGCACAAATGATCTGTGTTCCTTAGTAATGTCATCAGGAAAACCAATCAGTTGCATAGTCATTTGAAAAACACTATGCAAAAAACAAAGCACATACACACATGCAAAGTGCTGGAACTTTCTCATTCAAAACCAGGCATTACATCAAGTAAGATTTTTTTTTTTAGTACAAAATCAAAAAGAAAAACCATATAGGCCTAATTCTGCAAATGCTCTGTGCACAACAGTCCAAATGAAGCCTCTAATAATACAATAAAACAAATGGACATTGTATGATGTGACCCAGAAACTTCTTAGTACTAACTGGCATGGGGCACAGACGGGGTGCATAGGGGTTATAGGGATCTCTTGGGTCTGGTATGTACATTCTAGTTCATGAAAGGGTGTCTTAAATCAAAGCCAGTGCCACAATGGTCATCAATATCATCACAAAACACATGTATGGATATTGTGCAAGGATTTACATATATACACTGAAAATTATGTTCTGTGGCAGATGGCTGGCGCCATTATGGTGGGTCCCGTGCTTTTCCTTCATGTGATGGGTCATGTGCTGCCTTTTACCCCTATTCTTGGGCATTGAGAGCTCCATTAGTGCCCTGATGGGAAAGAGAAAGGGAGCGGGGAAGGGACCAGTCCAGTCCTCTACTCCGGGTCCCAGCCCCATCAGCTTCACGGGCTTTCCGCCCTCTTGGACAGGGTTTCTCTCAGTCCTCTCTGCCTGGGGAGTCCCTCTGCTCGAGCAGGGTTTCCCTTCCCCTGGTACTCTGATCCTCTGGTTAACAACAGTACTCCTGCAAACTACAGTCAGCTCTCCTTCTCCCTCCCTGGGGAAGGAGAGCTGGGGTTTTTATTAGGTCTCTGGCAGGGCCTTAATTGGCTCCAGGTGCTCTAATTAACCTGTAGTAACCTCTCCTCAGTCCCCAGGGAATAAGGCTCTGATCATCCTTGGGCTTATGTATCTCCCATCTATCACTTTCTTGCTGCCCTCTGGCTTTACTGTATCACAGTTCTTAAAATCTGTGTCTAGGGACTGGTCGCCAGCAAAAGTGAAAAACAGGTTTTCCATCAAACAAGAAACGTTCATCTGTCTGGCTGTTTACAGGTTTGTGCTAGTATATTTGTAGGACTAAGACGACAACCTGGCATCCTTCACCTGGGAAGTAAATGGACAGCAAGTTTGCTTAATGAAAGAGGGGTCTCAGCTAGGCTTGGCCGAAATGCAGAAGAGACCTTAGGGTGAGATAACTTAACAAGTTGATCTATCTAAAGAAGCTTTAGACTCTAGCAAGTGCGGTATGATTTTGTGTTATATGTAACCTGTTGTTCCCAATAGCTTTACTTACCATCACTTGAATTTATCTTTGCTAATAAACTTTTCACTATATATAAAAAGTGCTGTGCTAAGTAGTGATCTTGAGATGAATCTTACAAGTTGGTGTGTACTGCTCCTTCTGCAAGCGTTCATGGATAAGGGGATGGACGCTACGGGGAACACTCCGAGGACTTGTGGGTTGGTGTGTGGCTATAGCTAACCTGTAGAGAGGGAGAGCAAGGACTGCAGAGGCCTGGAAGGTAGTGCTTGTGCTGTCAGAGGCTTGTGGTTTCTGGGACTGATTCATGACAGACAGACAACACTTCCTCATCCTAAAGGCTGGTGGTGGAGATGGGGCCTCACAACTCTGGGTAGCCCTAGGGAGCATCACTAGTTTAATTTAGCCGTGCTTTACAATGTGTCCCATATGCAGATTATTTTGATTTTTTTCCACATGCCAATGCCATGTACTTTATCATGCCAATGAAGTTACTGAAACTTTGTTTCAGCATATACAAGTCCTTCAGTGTCTTCCAAAAGTGGACCTATAACTATGTGCCTTTCCCTGGAACTAGTAGTAGGAAATCTCAACAAGCCAGTCAATGGTCTGGTTATTTTCTTTTCTGGGGGGTGTTAAATCTCAGCAATGACTCTAGATTGAGTTTTCAGAGTCCAACGTAGGAGCATTTTCCTGAGCAGTGAGTTAATGTCTCTGTGCACCTGAAGTAGTCACTCTGGAGGTCCAACCCAGATTAATGAGTCCCAGAGTTTTAGGAAAAGGGGTTTGTCTCTTTTCAGGGCCCTGAGGCAACAGAGGAATTTCCAACTAGAAATCAGCCCAGGTAGCTCCGGAGATACAAGAATTACCTTGTTTATAATTCCTTTATGTTTAATGATACAGCAGTGGGACACATTCTGTGCTGTTTCTCTAGGGGCCCAACTCCAAAGGTGTAGCTTGGGAGAGGAAGGTCAATTGTGGCTTTAAGCCATGTTTGCCTGGTCTGGATTCTGAGTTAGCTAGGAGGCAACTCTAATTTATAGCAGTCTTATCCCTGGTCTACCTATGGGGTATGGCTGCCTGGAG